CTGCTCCTGTTTGAAAAACACTACATTTTAAAGAGTATTTTGTACTTTGGAGTACCATTATCTCAGTGTACATAAAACATGTTCTTGCCTCACGCTATGAAAGATACAATAAAACCTTTCAGACTCTCAAAGATATGCCTGACGATATTTCTCTGGTTATTAAATCCCATGTATAGCAAAGCCAACACAATTAATCCACAGGATGCAAAAGCTGACATGCTCCTTCAGTGCCATGAACACAGCCTGTGTAGTTTATTTTGAGTGACTCCCACATACACCGTCCGCCTGCAATAAATATGCACTTGAGTCCCAAAATGTATTAATCTGCGTCTGAAAATAGTCCCCAATAAATGATCCATTTACTCTTTAAGTAATATTAAAAACTGCAGTGCCCAGCTGTGTTTAGAAATGATTATTTAGCCTTTTTGAAACTATATATTGTTGATGTTCTTAAAGCTGTAGGTTCTTAGTGGGAGGTCTGAGGTTGAGAGCCACAGACGGAGGAGAATCGGAAAGAGATTTGTTGAAAATAAGATAAATGTAGATAAATAACAATGCCAGCCTTTGCCTTTTAAAGGAGCCATAAAATGCTGCTGGTTCTCTGTCCATCAAGTTGAGTACTTCAGTAACTAGTGTTCACCTTGTATTCTGAGTGCAAGTCATACCTCCTGATTAGTAGGCTAGAAACCAGCAGTGGAAACCATGCAGTACTAGTGGTTGTACAAATGGTAAATGAAATAATCCAAGACACGAGAGCAGTATATTATAAGGCTAAATGTGTGCTTTCACAAGACATAATTGAAAACATTATTCATTTTTGGTGAGGGTTTCAGGAAGTAAGTGTGTGATTATCAATATGACTTTCAAGGTCGCTGAGGGGATTCAACTTACATTTATTTTATGAGACGTTGTCACCAAATTGCTTGATATTGACTTTTGCCAACCGACTCTTTTTAACAACATATAAGTGATGGATGTCTAAGATGACTGTCTGGCTTTGACATCTTTGTGTGTGAGCCTCTTTGGTCTATTTGTAATGGTGTGTGTGTGTGTGTGGTATTGTTGTCAACGATCTAGTTGATAAAATGGTTTTAACCCCGCAGAAGCATTATGCAACAAATCACTGGATTTTGTCTGTTTGTTGTTCGTGTTTTACCATCTTACAGCCGTGTCCATTGATTTTCTTTTCCTCTTCTTTAGAAGTGTGTTGTAACTGAGACTGCAGTTACAGTTCGACTTTGTCCTCCAGATGTCTCTGTGAACTCCAGCTGCTCTCAAACGCTGTTTCATACAACCATCCTTCTTCATTCCCACTAACAATTAGGTAATGAAATATTGATTTTTAGTTAGATTCATATTGATGCTATTAGCTTTGCATTGATAAATCACTGATGCTGGGAGCCAGACCAGGAGGACATTACTGTGTGTTAATCTGATGGATATGCCTTCTTCTTCCTGCATGTCTCTCTCTACCTAGAGTGTCACACTTCATCTTTACTGTGTTGAAAGCAGGTTCATAATGATGCTCTCACTAATCTCTTTTGGTGTTATCTTCTAATTGTTGGTTGTTCATTTTAGTATACAGTTTCTTGATTAAGTTGGAGACTTTAAAAGCTATTCAAATATGAATTGTAATTGTTCGGAAAAGGGTAAACAAAGGTAACTGGAAGGAGGAAACCACCACTTTTTAAGCTTGAATTATCCTTAACTTGGTTTTCTTATGAATAATAGAATATTGCATTTAGTGGTTGCTTGTATTCAAAGCATCCTATAGGAGTATACATTACACCAGTGCAGGTAGGAATCACATCTTTGACCCAGGCAATTTGAATGCCATGCTCTAACAATTGAGCTATACACAACAACATTTCCAGTCACCTACTGTGACTGCTGGGAAATCTCCTTATCACCAGTGTCCACCTGTCTGAGGCGACGCTCGGTGTTTCAGCCTGCTGTCTAGTCATTACTGTCACAGTGGGGCCTCGGTATCAAAAACTGAGACTGGAATACATGTTAAGGACCGGACAAAAATTACAAAACATATACTGTAGGCCTACATGTTGCTGGTATATGATGGAAGAAAAGTAATGTTATAAAGCCATTGTAAATGCAGTGTCTGTCATTTGATGCAGAAGATCAACATCAGCTTACCCCTCATGACAGAGAGAGTTGAGGGTGATTTTTACCTTCTTAGATTGTTTATTGTAATACATTTTAGATGCCTGAGCAGGTAAAACTATACAGCATTTCACAAAATAAGAGAAACTAAGAGAATTAAACAGTTGTGTGTATGAGGGTTCCTATAAAAGGCTTTGTTTGTTTGTTTTTTTTCCTTGCCCGAATTGAGTGTCCAAGCACATTGAATGTTTTGTATTGTAAAGATGGTAATGCCCTTTTGAGGCACATTTCTGATTGTGTGCTTTACAAACAAAATATATTTGATTTGAACAGAATTTAGTTTTTCTTAGTTTCTACACTAGCAATCATCTCGTGACCCTGATGGGGTCCCTACCCCAGGTCTCAGTTTACAATGACTACATTAGTTTCCTCTTTAATCTGAATTGTCACCACTACAGTACTGGCCTTATTTAAACCCTTATTGTAAACTAATATGAATTAACATACCCAGAACCACCGAATTCAAATTTTTCTTCTTCTATAATTTTAGAAATACTAAGGCTTTAAGTGCATGCAGAACCCCATCCACATTTTGAGAAGCCACATGCCAAACTCTGTCAAATGTTCTGACTATTTATGAACATCACAATTTATATTGATTCCGCATATACTTTCTATCACCTTCCTACATTATGATGTGATGTATAACTCTGTTGGAGATCACTTTCCTTTATTTTTATCCAATTTAAATTATTTTCTGTTTTCTGTGTGCAAACTCATCTTCACGTAATGATAACCCCCCCAACATTTCCAGTCATATTAACAAGGGCATGACTTCACTGTGTTCAAGTCAAATTTAAAAACTCAGTTCAAACCTCAAACAACCTTTTTACTTTGACATTTAGCCTAACCCTAAACTAAATCCTAATTCTGGTTTATCTGCTCAACCTGAATTCTAACCTTAAACCACCCTGATAAAAAAGTAAAGACCACCTCTTAAAATGAAGTCACTTTACAATACTGTCTTCACCATCGAGACTTAGATCTCAGACTAGTTCTCATAAGGACAGCAGTACAACGCACACACATCATACTGAGGACAGCTGTCACTCCGATCGGCCACCGGTCCGTCTCTCCTCTCTGCTCGACTACAGCCAGGCGTTTCCCTGTCAGACAACATATGCCACTGCATTTCTGCTGCTCCCGGCCGCCTGACAGTATCTACTCCCAGACCCTGTGGCCAGCTCCAACTCTCAGCCTTGTTGCTGGTGGCACTGCGAACATGATCTCTGATGTCTCTCAGGCAGCTAACTGATGCTGTCACTGCACCAAGATATAACACGACCCGCTGACAAACGCATTGTGACAAGGACATACAGACACACATGCGCTCAGCGGAACAAGTACTCGTCGATGTTCAGAATGTATTTTCTCCTCTGGGTTTAGGCAGCCAGATATGGTCAGCGACACATTAGTTTACAGTCACAAAAAAATAATGCTTTTCTGTAATGTGTTTAAAAAGCTAAATGCTGAAAGTTGCCTGTGGACCGAGTTTGGCCAGGTTTGAGATTTACCACCGTTATAAAGACTCAATTATGCTTGCAGACATATAGCTGTCTGATGATGGTGGGGAAAAAGGCCTCGTCAATAATTTGAAGTTTGTACAATGTCAAGCTGTATACAGTTTCAGCGTATAGAGGAGGTTTTAGTGCAAACACCTCAATGGTTTTATGGTCACAAAGATTAAATGACATACAGTATAATGCCACATGAAGAAGTGGTATAGCCAGCAATCCCTCCCAACAACAACAAACAGGAAGGTGGAATTTATAACAAAGCAGCTCCTCTATTTAGATCATCCATTTCTTGACATTGCCTACCATCTACTGGTAGAAGCTGTAAACTGCAGCAAGCATGAGACCTGGTTTTATTATCATTATTATTACTATTTAATCACGTTAAATCTCACCTGACTTAAGGACAAGAGGAATCCAAAACAGAAACAATCACACAGATCTCCAAAATGCCTAACATTAGAAGTTTTAGTTCATCCAATGACATGAGTTTGGGGTCCATTTAATCCATTTATATTGTGTAAATTACTGGAAAATTGTCTACAAAAGATAAGTATTTACTAATTAACTTTGTTAGTCAGTCCTGGGGGTCATTATCATCAATTGGTCAGCATCAGTTATTCATGTCAGTTATTTTTACTGTTAAATTGTTTTTATGAAGACTGCTGTTTATATTGTTCGAGGTTTGATGAATATGCTATTGCACTTGTTGAGATAACGATTAAAAATGGCTGATAAAGTTGCAAAGGCCCCTCTCACTGGACTAATAACTAGCATAGTGTACTGTTCATTCTATACCAGGCACGTCCCCCAAAAGGTGGGTCAACCTCACACTAATGGATTGTGTGTCCCCAGTATGTTCTAATTGAGAGAAACAATCCTAACCAATTGTGTAAAGGGAAACTTACCAAAAATGCCTTTTTAGCCATATTTCAGTGACTGTACCAGCCTACATTGTTGTGCATGCTGTACGTTTTCCTTGAAGCAAAACAATCAACAATACAAAAAAATAACATTCAGTTTATTCGTGATTTATTATGATCACATCAGTAATCTGGTCCCGTTCTACCCAGTTAATTCTTTGGATTTTTGGTTGTAATCTTCATGGTGAATTTCCTGAGCAACCCCGCTACTCACTTTAAAGGCAAAGTGTACAACTGTTCATTTGTGCAAATATCAAAGTACAGTTAATTGTGGTTAGTAAATGTATGTTTTTAGGCTTTTGCATTCAGTGAGTCTGCTTTTGTTGCCATGCTTTTTCTCGCTGTTTTAACGCGATAACTTTTTTTCCTTTTTATATGCTTTGCTTCTCAGTAAACTTCCATTCGTAGCTGTTGCTCACTGGGTGTTAAGTATGTGGAACGTCTTTTCTCCATTTTAGCGTCAGTAAATCTGTTATCGACCTCGTGGTCTGCTGCAACAAGCTGTGAAAGTGCATATATTTGGATTACTTACACCGGCTTTACCTTGCTACACCCGGCTTTACCTTGCTACACCCGGCTTTACCTTGCTACACCCGGCTTTACCTTGTTGCACCTCCTCATCCAGAATGCATCGACTGTACCGGGTCAAGTCTGGCCTTTTCTTTTAGCCGGGATTTCTTAATTCTGCTTTTGTGAAATAGCCCCCTGGGCTCTGCTCTGATTTAAGTTTTAAATGTGAGAAGGAATGTGATAAACTGACACAGCATTTATAAACCAAAATGATAGCGTGTAGTTCTTATTGTTGTTTTTCATGAGGTACAGAGTGATGAGTACAAATGAATCTCTTGTAATGAAACGGAGGGCACCGTGGATAGCTGCACCGTGTTGTTTGAAGGTGGAATGAGCATATTGAGCTCCGATGTCAGAAAGCATGGCCTAAAAACACAAACTGGTGTTCTTTGCTAGATCCAAATTTAGGCAAATAATCCTCATGTATTCTCTATATAAAAGCTTTCAACTGTCTGGATTCTACTTAAATTAAGTAAAGTGTGACTGCTAAATATAGACCACAAATGGCTTTGTTTGGGCTTTTTGGCTTTTGAACAAACACTGTGTGATGGCTCATATGTGTGCGTGTGTGTGTGTGTGGGGGGGGGTGTGTGAAAGAGAGATATAATGACAACAGCACTACCATAATATAAATCTACATTGACCAACTTTATTTGTGTATTTTAACAGTCAGACAAAATGTGGAACTGGTGAAAATAGAAATTGATTTGAAATTATTAACTGTTGACATAGTCACAAACATCAACCCAGTGAGAGCTCAAATGTAAGCTTCAGGTTCGCATAAAAGTTCAGGCTTGCATGAAAATCCCTGCCTCACTGTTTCCTGCCTCACTGTCTCTTTACAGACAGCTGTTGGATCACAGGCTCAGTAAAACCTGCTGCAGGAGGCTCACTCCTTACAGACCCTGCACTCTGGCCTCAAGTGGGTCACTGATTATTTTTGTTCTTCTTTTTCTGTTGTTACTACAAATGTCAAGTACTTTGGAGTGTTACAATCACACTCTTAGTAAACAAAAAAAAATGACCATAAATAAAATTAACATTTACAATATTTATCAAAAAACAGTTTTCCACACAGATCAAAGTCAATACTCCAACAATAAAATGTGTCTTCTCAAGATCACCCAAGAATCCATAACTTGATGGCTTTTTGTCAAATGCATAGACTATTTCTCTATGGAAGATGAATACACTGAGTTTTAACTAAAATATAAACTTACTAAACAAATCTGCAAACATACAACACACGAAAACAAATTTTAGAATGAGGTGAACTTCAAAAAGTCAAACAAAATATTTTTGCAGTCTCTTTAGTAGCATTACTGGTACGTCAGGGTCACATCAGTAGAACTCGTTATTGCTACATTTTCTACTTCTACAACATCACAGCATTAAATTGCTACATCACCAGCACAATGTGAAATGAGTGCAGATGTTTACGCTATCTTTCTGAGAGGAGAAAAAAAGGACAAACTGTTGCATTTAAATTTCAAACTTAGAACGATAAAGCAGGATACCACTTTTCATTCTTTGTGTCATTTTGACACATTGACGTGATTGACAGACTGACTGTCGACCAATTTAGGTATTTCCTCTGGTTTTCTCACATTTAAATGATTGTCTATTCTGGATCTTAAGTTTGGCAGTAGCTATGAATTTGCCCTGGATATATGTTGAGTGAAAACAGCCATGGTGCTGCTTTCTCTGTTTGACACGGATTCAAAAGTGGTCAAAAAAGCAAGGACGAAATGCTCGACTAGTTGTAGATTTACAACGAGTGGTGTAATCTGCGCCTGTGAACTGGAAGTGAGCAGTCGGTTAACTTTGCACGAACAGATGGTAGCAGACGACAGCAGATAGCTAATGCACTGATGATGCCCTGATCCTGTTCTGTCAAAATGATGGCAAGGTTTAGTAGTATTTGGTCAAAAAGCACAGAACAGGTCTTATGTGTAGCAGCTGTAATGTTTAGGAGAAATATCTCTCCAGTTGTTTTGAACTGACTTCAGCACACTGCTTGTGATTGTGGGCTGAGGATGTTTTAGACCACATTCAGTGTGAGAACAATAATATGAACGGAGCACCCTTAATGTGTGTGTGTGTGGGGCTATGAGCCAACAGTGCTAAAGCCTGGATTCTGGTCAGTTCTCGATAATTATGTAAATATGAGCTTAACATTGAAAGTGACAATAAGCAGAATGTTGAGACAATCAAATGTGGTACTAACCTTAAAACAAAAAAATGCCATTTTTACACCCATGTAAGCTCCGTTAAAACAACAAACTGAAACGTACAGTATAGAGAGAGGTAATTGTGATGTTGACGTCACAGCTTCTGACTGTTTCTACTGGCATCCTGTGTTTTTAAATCGATTGTTTTTTTTACTCAAAACCAGCTGATATCTGTGCTCCTTTAGCCAATATAATGTTGTCTTTATCCTTTAGCAAATGTAGCTTAACATTTCATTTCCACCCCTGACAAAAATCTCAAACAGTTCTGGTAACTAACGTATCTACACTCTTAACAAACAAAAGAAAAACATGCAAAACACTTCAAATTAAACAACCATATTACAAAATAGGAGTCCACCTCATTGCATTGCATATGTTCTGCATCATCCAGTGACTCAGTCCTGTAGGAGTTATGGCTGGTTCCTTTGAAGAACAGCGGGCCTCTTTGTTCTGCCCTACCATGCGGGCTGGAAGCAAACAGGAACACGGTGTAACTTCACGTTCCTTTATGAAGAGACCCTGAGGAGGAAGTGGAGCGGCTGTTGACCTGGAGGAGACAAATAGGAGGCACACCAGTTAGATCTGACAACACTGAGACGGAATGTGTGCGCGTGTGCAAGTAGTGTATATGCCCACGGTTACGTTATCGATAAATGGCCTAGCAGCTGCATAACCAAGTACTGAAATGTTGACAATTATACACGTCTAAAGGGCAGCAATGCTATCTGAAGATCATTTTTTGAATCGGACAATTTATAATAATATTTATAAGTTGTATTTTCTTCACAACAGCCACTCAGGGTTTGGTTTAGGTTATGTAGGTAGGTATGTTTGTTAGTTTTTTATAGAATGATAACATATCTTTTGTTTTATTTATTCAAAATGTACAGTGAAAGGTAATTTAGCATTGCATCAAGGTTTAGTCTTGTACTTTTGCTCTATATTTTTACAGCAAGTATTTTTCAATAAATAAATAACTAACTTCCTTTAATAATGACCAAATAACATGCATTAGTTGTCTCCTAAGATTTGCTAAACGAGATGTGCATTGTATGAACACTGGCTGATTGTTTTATCCAGTACGAACTAGCAACCATATTTTACATATGTTTTATGTCCAATTAGAGATAGTGCCCCATATGAAATACCATATCAATAACCAGTTTGGGGATATTACAGTGTGTTAATACCTCTACACTTTAATTATAATCAAATGTCTGATGATATGTCTAGAGCAGGACTTATCACACTATGCTATATTTTATGCAGTAGTTTCTGTATTAGTGGACATACGAGGCATCCGTAATGTACAGTAAAGCTGCGCATAAAAAGGCTTCATGTTGCGCCTATCATGAACAGAGTGAAGCTGGTTCCTTCTTAAAAATAAGTGTTTAAAGACCAGAAGACAAAGAAGAAATAACACAATCTTTCATACTTTGGCGAGCTATTATAGCACAAAATATGTTCTCCTGCCCACACAGTGTTATCCATATTAGTTGCATCTAATTTGTAATTCCTCACACCTACGGACATTGCAATTGCCAATCTTTAGTGTTTAGAAAGTTGCCCACATATTACTCTAGGGAGAAAGAGGAGAAAGCAAGAACAGTTGTAGGTAGCATCAGGGTAGGCCTGACTGAAAGGCCGATGACGCACCATATGGAGATGCTGGTTGAGTTTTACCCCGAGGGGGACAACAATGTTTCTTTATCATTTGTTTGCCTCATCCCTGTCAGCCTCTCTCACGGAAAGATGAAGGAAAAGACAAGCATGCACGCAAATGAAATGAAAATCCGCAGATGCACAGAAGTGACGGACTGTATTCAGACGTAGACGAGGTACAGACACACACAAGAACAAGCACACACACCGTTGGTGGAGCTATACTGCACATACATGTGAGGTAGAAAGGGACTTCATTTTGGAAGATTAGAGTTGAACTTTTCAGGCAAAATCTCAAAGCATTGTTCCACCACCGACTAACTCGCACTTTCTTTACTAAATGATCAAATGACACTAGATGTGGCAAAATGTAAGATATAATGCTTTCTGATGGGGATAAAGGTTTGTTTACAGTAGTGATGTTTCTGTACATAACTGGGTTTCATGCAATCACTTAAGTGACTAAATGTTGCCACACTCATCCAGTGTATGGCATTTATTCATTTCCTTCAGTGTAGTGAAGGTAGTCTTTATTCACTTCCACTACATAACACTGCAGGAAAACCCTGACAGCAGTAAAACAGGCTTACCTTTTCAATTCTGTTGTAAAACTATTCAATTGTAAATATAAATATGATTGCATAATATAAATAGTCAAAATGGCACGAGTGGGCCTTTTAATTTACAAGAAATAAAGTCCATGACTTGTCTGTAGGCTGAAGACGAGGAGATAACTTCTATCAAAGAAAACATACTTGTTTGGAAGCTTCAGAGGCGGAGTGGACTTCTTTGCCAAAATTTCCATTTAACTGCAACATTGCTGTAACAGGAGTATAAAAAGAGCATGTAAACAATTATCATGGTCAAGTCACATTCTGATTTTCACAAGTTTTAAAATGGCCTACTGCTGACCACCAATCCTCCATTGTAAAACATCATTACATTAATCAGCCCATTTACAATCAATCGAGTAGAAAAGCAAAGCTCCTCCTCACCTTGTGGATCAATCCTGGGATCAACAAACCCCCAGTGCTGGTAAAGAGCAGCCAGATCATGGGGACTGTAGTTTTTCAGGAGACTCAAAATATCAATGTCCATTGGCATTTCTCCTGTCGATTCATTCTTTACCTGAGCAAAATGGACCGGCTCTAAATACGCTTTGTGACCCCACATGTTCATGGCAGCCCACAGATCAGGAACCTTAGGACCCGAAGAGGAGTCGCACGACTGCCTTCGGGGATGGGGTCTATCTGCGGAAACGTTGGATGAAGTCCCGCCATGATTTCTGGCCAACATGAATCCCAAACCCTCCTGTGGGAAGTGTCCTTCCACCGCGGCTCTGTGGCTTCTGTGTTTGGGGCTGTTTGTAGGCTGGAAACTAGGGGAGCTCTTGCTGGGCACACTACTGCTCGATGAAGTAGCTTTAGTGCTGGAGCTTTTACTCCCCCCCTTCTCTGCCCGGTTATGTTCACCAGACTTCTTTTGAGGTAGGAGTCCCATCCTCCCACTAGACTGTGTCCCATCTGAAGAGCGCGAGTCCTTAGACTGATGCTTGGACTTTGGGACGCCTGATTGGTTCTTGGCAGCTGAGTGCTTACTACTACTGCTGCTGCTGCTGCTGCTGCTGCTGCTGCTGCTGCTGGTTGTCAAACCTGGAGGCTGTGTGCGCTGAGTTGTTGGAGCAGGTAAAGCAGGGCAGTCCTTGCCTTCGAGGAATGGTGGAGGCCCGGTGCGTCTCCACTGGGTAGCACCTGCCTTCGGACTCTTGTTGCTGTTCATGCAGGGTGCCCACTTTGGTGCCATGGAGCTGCTGCCGTCCACCCTGTGTGCAACCCGCTGGTGGATCCACAGGACTTCTGGGTAGTTGGTAGTGTGGGAGCAGTATGGGCACTGATGTCGTACCAGACCCTCTGTCTTTATTGGATCACTTACGGGGCCTTCTCCTTCACTTACGGCTAATGAAGACAGATTAAGAAGACTTCCAGCATCAGTAGTAGTTTGTCCCTGCCCTACCTCAGTACCATTTGACTTCTCCGTTTTAATGTTGGATTCTGCTGACCCCGGCCCAGGGGGACATGTGTAAGGATTCCAGTATGGCTGACTGAGCAACAAACTCCTGTTTCTGAGGTAGTCCATGTATCGTGAGGCTTTGGAACCACTCTGGTTGCCGTTGTCCAGAATGGTGCTGTGTTTGCTGGAGGGACCCAGGACGTCCTGGTGCTGCTTGTGCAGGTGAGACCTGAGTAGTGAGGCGTCGGCAGTGTGGAAATCACAGTGCTCGCAGAGGTATGCTTTTTTATCTGCAGGTAAGAGCAGAAGAAGGAATGTAAAGGTCGTACCCGATATATTTAAGTGGTGTGTATGTATACAACATAGCCACCGGCATGATTACATTAGCAAGAAAAGCATTGTTAAAAGTCTGGAGTTACTTTGGCATAGAAACCATACTGAGTTTCATAATGGAATAAACATCTGTTATAAAGTATATCAATAATTCATCTTGTTTCATTGCTGACACTGATGTGGCAGGTTTTGATCAATTTTAATGAACCTTTGACAGACATATACATCTCAGTCTCATAATGAATGTTTTAGTTGCTTTCAAGATTCTAAATTAAAAGAAGTTAATTTAACTAAAACGCAAAGTGATTGTTATCCTAATCGTAAACACAAAGTTTTCAAGCAGCAGCAGATCTAAATCTAGTTGAACAAAATAAGATTTTAGGTTTTTATTTAGCAATAGGCTAGGTTTATTAACATGTGTTACCAGACACAAAAGCAGGATTTTTAGTCACCACAGCAAAGTGTTCTTTGTCAATATGAAAGGCACTGATTTCTAATTGCCAAATGAAAAATATTCTTTTAATAAATCAGCACCTGCTCTCTAATTACAGCCGTTCCAAGTGTTAAAACCACCAGAACGTTGGCTAACAAACCAATTACTTCAATTATAGCCAACAAAATGTTCCTTTAGCTAATAAAAACATTTAGCAATGAAACTTAATAAGCCCGTGAAGACTGTTCTGAAGCCTAGGTGACAACGCCTTAATGGATGTGCATTCGCAAAATCTTTTTGTGTAAACGAGTGTATTTACAGTTGCTGTAATTCAGTTATAAATTCACTAGATGTCTCCCTTTTCCACAGTACAATGTTGAATTTTCACATTGATGACTTGTCTTTCAGTAATATCAGAACAGTCTATATTGAAGTGGCACGTCTGCATGTCCACAAACACAACCTTCGATATCTTAATTTAAACAAATGAATTGCTGTCTTATCCAAATGGTAGCACAGGTAGTGTGGTGTACATGGCTTACCCTCCTGGTCCTGACTCCTGCCGCTGTTGTTGTGTCTGGGTGTGAGGTGAACATCTTTGTCTTTCTTGCTCTGCAGTGCCTCGTAAAACGCATGACCAAGTCCGTTTAACAAAATACGGTCTTTCTGAGAAATCCTCTTGTCAGCACCTTTAGTGTGAGCCAGGCTGTTTGACGAGTGATCAAGGCCTGTTTCACCCTTAATCTTCTTCAAGTTGGAGCTGGAGGTGTCTATTTGCTTCCTCTTCTTCTCCTGCTTCCTCGGTACATACTGGCCCTTTTCTGTGTCGTACGCCACCTCAGCGTCTGCCAGCCTCTCCTCCCATCCCAGACATTTCTCGGTGGCCTCCACTAGTCGTCCCCTTGTGGCCAGCTGCCACGCTTGGTAACTACAAATTGGATCCAGCTCTGGAATTCGCCTGCCCAGGCTCTTGTCCTCAGATGTTTCCCTCGGTCCAGCACGCATGAGGTTCAGGCTTTCCAAAAAATGCCTCTTATCAACATGCGGCTCAGAGGCGTCGATGTCTTCCTGTGGCGTCTGAGAGCGGCTGTGGGCCGGTTTATGTAGCTTCTCATGTATTCGTAATGTCTTGCGGTCAGAGAAGAAGTTACCGCAGCCAGCACAGAGCTCAAAGAGGCACTCTTCATTGGTCAGCGACGCCGAGTCCTGAGGAACTCCGTTGATGGTGGCAGGCGGCTCGTTGCTTTTGCCACCTCGTAGCTGGGCTTTGACCCGGTGAATGCGCATATGACTTTGGAGGAACCATGCCTGGCGGAAACGGCGTCCACAAATCCGGCAGCCATGATCCTGTAAATTGCGGTGCCTTTTCATGTGGGCTTTAAGGAGAAGTATCTGAGGGTAAACCTGGCCACAAATGCTGCAGGTACAGGACCCGTTGTCAGCCCCGCTGACCTCAATCGCATCTTTACCCTTAACTTCTTTCTTTGTTCCTTTCTTCTTCACTTTGCTGTTGACATTGTGAGCCTTGTCGGATGTGCTGACAATTTCAGGAGGGTCGGGTGTCTCGGAGTTATCTTTCTGCTCTTGATCCCCGCCCCCTCCCTTGTCACTGAGGTTATGGCTGAACAGGCCTAGTTTATGGCTTCGAATGTGGGCCTTCAGACTGCCCTTCTGAGCCGTCCTGTGTTCACAGTACGGACACTTGTACGGCTTCTCCCGTGTGTGTCGTCTCATGTGCTGCGACAGCGAGCTGAGAAGAGGAAAACTGCGGCCGCACACCCCACAGGTGTGGCCAGAGGTCTCGTCCACCGTCTCCGTCTTTATGTTTGCAGTGAGCTTTTGTGATTCATCCTCCCTCTCTTCTGTCTCCATTACGTTTCCTGGAGCACCGGTCAAAAACCACAGCTGTGTAATAAATCTTCTGACTATGCAAAGTCTGTCTTCCAAAAGTTAGTGAGTTCTCAGAATAGGCGTAAAATACTTGCAAAACATCACAGCTTTAGTGTCCATCCTGATATTCTTTTTCACGTTGCATACTTATGGCAAGAATACCTGGAGAAAACAGCAAAAGATTTTAAATTAGGCTTGTTATAATTACACTTATGATCCGAATTCATAAAATATTATTGCCAAAATGATTATATATAATACAGTTAGTCTTAAGAGGAGTTGATAGTAATATGACTAAGCCAAATCGCTTTTCAATGATAATGAATTTCTCCCCCCCCCCCAAAAAAACTATTCTTATTTCAACACATTATGTATTTACTTTCTTGTGTCCAAATGTTTTGGGGTTTAATTGAACTGCTTCACAGAGCATACATCCAGATGTATTTGCACATTGATACATAAACCAAGAAAAAAAACAAATGGATAAAAAAGGCAATCTTCACATTCAACAGTAAAAAAAACAATAAGACTAATAAAACTGATGAAACCCCCCCCCCCAAAAAAAGCAAAATACGTAGAACCTACAAAAGGTAAGCATACAATCCTTGAGGCAATATGTGCCACAATTTGGTAATATCTGTAAAGGCTGGAGCTATGAGCACCAAACTGTTAGGCTGCTTAGTTTTAGATACTTTAACTACTTTGGTTTAAAATTCAAAATGTAAGTGATCATCGGACTGCACAGTCTTCAAGAATCAAGGATTTACAATATTGAATAAAGTGGTTCCAGTAAAAGTTCTAGCTAGATAAAAGATGTAGACTGCGGATGATATTTAAATCATAAATTGGTGACAATTCTTTGTCTTCCCGAATCAAAGAACTGCCAGAAGAGACTTTTTCTGTCAATCAAAATAATGTCTTGTTTTCTTTTGATTTTACGCAGTTACACAGAAAACATCCAGAGATTCAGAGACTGGGCAGAAGTTGCTTACATTTAAGGTGGTTTCCTCTAGTGTATGTGTGTAAAAACAACAAACCGGAGGGACAGCCCACTAAGGCAATTTGCATCACACTGATTTTAGAATAACCTTTGTCCCTCAGTGGATGAGCGACGCCTGTCTGTGCGTATTAGAGCGCGGGTCAGTGTCTCAACATGCGTGCGTGTCGGTCTTTGGTTTCCTATGCCTAAATTGAGTGTGTGAGGTGAAGCATGAAGAGATGTATTCATTCCTGGCCAAAAAGGATGAGCCCTGAGGGGGCAGTCTACTCTAATTCACGATCAATAATCCATTATCAGCAAACTTCATTTTAGAAGCTCGCATACAGACAGACACAGGCCCTAATTCTGGGGCAAGTGCTTACATAAAATCATGGGTATCCGTAACAAGGTACATATTTATTTTTTTGCTCTCTACATGAGAAACGATACATGGTACAGACGGGGTCTGGTGTGGTTAAACATGTTCCTCGGGCAAACATGACTAGTTGTTGGAGTGGCGTACAGCCAGCCAGGCAGTCAAAAGAAAAACCTGCCATTGTGTCGGCCGCACCAGAACTGTCACATCGCCTCATGTCTGGCCCTCCACCCCTCTTTGGGGGGTCGAGAGAGTTATTGTTAAAGCAAAGAGGCCTGGGCCTGCACGTCACTGTCTTCGAGCACATGCCTGAGCTAAGACTCAGGACAAAGGGCGACTCACATTTGTCTTGTCAGTCTCTTTGGGTGTAAGGAAAAACTAGGTGCACATAACACATAAAGGCTAGAAAAAAAGAGACGGCCACTCTGGCCGTGATTTTTAAGGGATGAGGTCGTCTAATTATCTGTATCTGGATCCACAGTCGCATCTGTCTGCATGCCTGCCTGCAGCCATGTGTGCTGATCCACTCACGCTGGAATGGGTGTTGTATTTGGAATATGGGAGGAGTTTAGGAGGGTTTTTTTTCCCTGCATATGGCAGGTGTTTGGTAGGCAGACGCCATCAGATTAGTGTATGGGCAATGTGGCACACTGTCTCCAAGAGGGGGAGGATGTGCAAGAAAAAAAACTGGAGGGTGGCAATTAAGGGGTTAAGGTTAAGGCGAATGTAATGAGTTACCACAATGGGGATGAAGTCGGAGAGCTGAGGGCAACAGATGGGAATAAACGGGCCATCAGTATGGAGTTAGCTGCCTCTACAGTATGAGCTTATGCCTTTGTCAAAGCCTATGTGCTTACTTAGTTTGTGCTATATTTGCATCTGCAGTATCCTACTTTTGCTAAATCATACACCAAAATAAATGCAACTGTGTAGTGTCTGTTTACTTATTTCTAACAAAATAATTCCAACGCTCCAGTCGTCTCTTTTTTTTTTTTCTTCCCTCTGTTTTCCACCTTTTCTGCCTTCATCCCATAACTACTGAAAGCCCTTTGGAGGATCTGTTAAGTAATGCAGATAGCCAAACATGTTGCTCCAGGGGCTTAACTCATTTCTTTTAGAATCCCTTGCTCCCTTTTTCTCTCCCTTTTCTTTGGCAGATGAATAGGCATGTCCAGTCAGCTGTCCTCGCATTGATTCATCCTGACGTCCCGACCAGCTCAGCACAAACTCCCTATGGTCAGGGCACTGATGCTGAGTGTGTGTGCTGTGATGTGTGTGTGTGTGTGTGTGTGTGTATGAAAATATCCACCGTCGGTGTGTGTCGTATGTGTGTGCACTGCACTGAAACTGTGGGTGTAATTTCCTGCCAGGATCTGGAAATAGCATTTCCCCTTGAATCTCACTTTGCAAGATACTATAGCATCCAACACACCGAAATACCTCAAATACCTTCTTTTTGTAAGCAAGAAATGTCCACTTGTATTAATATCTGCCAAAGTCAGCAACCTTCGAAGTGTGTGTGTGTGTGTGTGTGTGTGTGTGTGTGTGTGTGTGCGTGTGTGTGTGTGTGCGTGTGTGTGCGTGTGTGTGTGTGTGTGCGCGCGCGCGGTAGTCATCCAAATATTCTCAACAACCAGCACCAAGCCTGTGCCAACATACCCCTGACTGGAGATAGCATGTGACTGTCCTTATGCTAGTGTTCAAAGCCATAGTCACTCGCTAAGCCTCAGCTCGCATCTACCGTCCTGTGTCCAATAATCCTGTCTGTTTCCACCAACTGCAAACACAACAGAGGCATCGAACTAAATCAATGCACAAACTGAGAATGTTTTATTTGCTGTAGATGTAGTCCAAATACAAAGGGACGATGATTTCAGAGATTTCTTTTTTTTGTTTTATCTTCAAGTCCTTTGAGCTTAACTAAAACTCAGAAACCTGTCTGTGTAATCATGCACAAAATCAAATCACTTTTAAGAACATGGTCCGCTAATAAATAATGATGGAAAATATTCAAGGTCCTGGAGGCTTGGTGTCCCAGAAAAACTATTTAAGCCCCCACTAAAGAAACTATATTGTTAATGATTCCTAATATTCTAATGGAACATGTTACTACAATTTACAGTGGGTGATTTAATTCATATTTTTATGTAAACATTACAGTATCCATAACCTTATTGGGTGTTTACTATCCTGCACTCCCTCCAACATGTGGTGGATATAAGTGTCGATGTATTTCATGACCGAATCAGTTGTGTACTACAGCTAAATGTCTATTGCATTGCATGAAATGTGCATAAATCCCTTATTAAGTCCGACTGGAACAAGTCCTTCTCTTTATGAAACAACAGTCAAAGACCCGACAGGCTGCCATATTGAACACCTGTGCAGAATGATGCTCCAGCAAAAGACAAAAAAAATATGTTTTGGAGCAAGTATGCAGAAAATGTAATCTCTGCTGATGCGGTTGAAGATGACTCCTTCCAGATGTAGGGGAGTCAACACACACTCCCAGGTGCTTGCATAAGATGACATGTTTAATGAATAACACTAGCATGCTCAACATTCAGCTATGTGAGCAAACTACGCTTCCATTTCAAGTTCACAAAAGGGACAATTACTCAAATAACTCCATCCAGACCACACTGTTAAATACTTACATCATTGTGACCACAGGAAAAACATGTTGGTGCAGGATTATTGATTTATTGTTTTTTGCCCTTTGCTCTATTTCCCTGGCATAAGACGCACTGTTCTGTGTCGGACATGTTGACAGTATAATGAGCACAATACGATTTGACTCATACCTCAACACAACCTGGTACCAACGTACAACCACAGCATGGATTATATTCAAGACCAACACTGTTCCTAGAAGGAGTTAATCGTATGATAAACAGTAATGCAGCACAGCGATGTGGGCAAACAGCCTAATGTACCTATACGAGATTAGAAAGCCATGAGCTCAACAGCCACGAGCACTGACAAACTTGCGCACGATCGAGCCCATCCCCCTCCTTGTCCAACTCTGCACTCGGTTACACAACATATACAGGGATTACTCTTCATAGCATGAGATGAGCTGCTCAATGAGTGGCCTTTTATTATGGATGCCCTTTAGTGCTATAAAACACACACACACGGAGAACGGAGACTGACAAAGAGAAGAGACAACCTTGGCAGAGCTTTTACCTGTTGTGGAAATATGAACAGTCACTCTAAACAAATGCACAAGATGTCTCATGCAAGCCCAAATGCAGACATAAAAAAATTAACTGAAAGGCAAAAATGAAGAGATGTGATCTCTGGAGACATCATTTATCTGCTGTGGTAGGTCTGAGGATCCACTGTGGACCTTGTCTCTTTTCAGTGTGGATTGGCTAGTGTGGGAGACACTGGAGTATAATCTGCTGGCATTAACTTGCTCTCTAAAAAAAGCACTCTCGACAGGGATTAGATTATCATGGCAAGGTCAGCTCAGACTCGCTCCGACTGTCTCCCTTTATGTCTCTCCATCCATCACTCTGCTTCCCCGTCTGTCACTTGATCAGTTTTTCTGTCATCCTCTGTGCCACCTACTACTACCCCTGTCAGGTGTAAATGTTCAACGCAGCCGTTCGTTGCAGTCCTACCTCAGTAAAGATCACGCTGCCAATGCAGAAGAAAACATACCGGATTAACACGGATTAAAGATACAGGACGTTGTGGTACAGTGTCCTCCTCCAAAGCTTGATGCCACAGAAAAAACTAAAACTTATACCCACACCATGTTTGTTGATTAAAATGAGATTATTTTACAGGAAACAATCTTGCTCACATGGCTTGACCTGGAAAAGGAGACTGTTCTAGTCGGACTTGATTTATTCCCAGTGGAGCATTTTGTGAATTTGAAACCCTGATGATGCCTTCAGTTTGACACTTTAAGACAAATTCCTAGGTTTCCAATTAGGTTTGTGTGGTAATAGAGCTGCCGCTAATGATTATTTTTATTACCCATTGATATGCTGATTATTTTTTTCAATTAGTCATATCTTTTGTTCTACAACAACGGAGCCTAATTTGACACAGTTAAATAGCATTTTTCTGTCAGACTAAAAGCCACCAAAGGTATTCAGTTTACCATCAGACGAGTATGAAAACACACAAATATTCACATTTAAGACTTTTAAGAGACTGGAGCAT